AAATAAAAATTGTAAAGTGCTTTACCATAATTACTATAAAAAATCAGGTTTAACTCTACTTGACAATTGAGGGCAAGAAAAAAGAAGATTGGGTAAGTTAGTTTATTTCTTGTTTTCATATTTATTCTTTATTTATTATTATAAAAGTAACTAAAATTAAAAGTATGGATCTTTTTAAGTTATTTAAGACTAGATTAGGTAAAATAAGTAATAATAATAGTATAATTAAAATGGTTCACGTAGCATGCACGTGAGCAGCTCGTGGGTGATGTAATTAGATAGCTAACGTGAGCTGCATGTTCCCCAAGTGATTTACAACTTATAATGGTGCGGATAGCAGTTAGACACCATTCAAAGGGCAATAAAACAATAAAATTTAATTATAAGTAGATGTATAATGTTACGAACTTAGAACTGCTTAGGATAAACGAATGTAGTTTCATGTTACAAGTCATACTAGAAAAAAAAAGGGTTAATTTAGGTTTATTTCGATTTTTTTTTTGGGTTGTTACGAGGTCGATTGAATTGACTGATCCCGTTTTGAAATTAGGGTAGATAAAATAACATATAAGGATTTAGTGAAACAAAACGTTTGAAATGCATTTAGGAGGTTTTAGGAATTACACAAAGGAAATTTGAGATTTTTGAGATGAAGAAAAGTATTTTTGATTTTAACATGAAAATTACTTTGCACACAAACTATTCAAAACAAATACTCAATATATTCATGGACAAAACTTAAAAATATGACTTTTTGTATGTGAAAGACTTGTAGTATTAACTGAAAGACTGCCAAAATTTGTGAAGATATACCCAATATATAGAAAGTTATAAGTATTAAATTTGTCAACTTTAAACGAGTACAGAAGGTCAAGTGACCAAGCCCAAGTCAAAAGAGTTAAAAAATGCTAATTATTATATGGTGTGCATTTGTGTTATTTTTCTTGTTTGCTGTATTCAGAACATTAACACAGATAAATAATTGTAGAAGTTTATATCTTTGCCACTCATTTAATTTTTTCAACCAAATTTTTTTAAATATTATTTTAGCTCTTATGGGAGTTGCTGAGCTTGCTAAAGGAGTACAGTATGACGATCCAATTAAAACAGGGTTAGTATCTATCTATCTATATACATACATATTAGTTCATCAAGAAATTAATGTTGCATTCTTGAACACTTTCATTAACTACCCCCCAAAAAACATACATCACGTTTAATAGTTAAACGAACTGCCTAAAC